CGCGCGCGTATATATGAACCCGCCGTCCTGCCGCGACCCCAGCTCAACCAGGAGATGCGCATGCGATTCTAAACCGAATACAACCGTGCGTGCGTGCGTGCGTGTGCGTGCATACGTATGCGCGTGCATACGTATGCGCGTGCATACTCGCGCGTGTGTGTGCGCGCGTGCGTGCGTGAAGCATGCTAGCGAAAGAGATATATATATATAGGAGCGGGCGATAAATATAATCTTACTATAAATTGGCGAATTTCTGTCTGTGTGTGTGTGCGTTTGTGTGTCCGGCTGTACGTTTCCGCACCGCTCAACGGATCCTCTCCAAACTTGGTCGGAACATTCTACAGAGCATAATACGTTGCATGGGCTATTTTTTTCAGTTTTATTTTTTTCACATTCCACGTTCAAAAACATTAAAATGGTGGGAAATGTTTGCACCAAACGCGGTGCAACGTCATAACACTAAAACACAATGGCAATGTAAAAAACAATGTATAACCAAATGCGCTCCATCTAATTTATGGATCTCCATCCATAAGCTGTGGACACACTACGCGACTTTTCATGCGATCGAGCCGGCCGGCTCAGTCGGGCGACTCTGTGGATTTTCATCACGCTGATTGGCTGATGAATTGTACAATCGGCCGACTCGATCGCAGACCCGGGCACACTACGCGATTGTAGCCGCGCGACTCAAATAATTATCAAACATGTTTGAATCGCCAATCGGGCGACTCGGCCGGCCGACTCGAAAATCGATGCGACTCACTGGACACACTACGCGATTTTTCATGCGATCGAGCCGGCCGGCTCGGTCGGCCGGCTCGATCGCATGAAAAATCGCCTAGTGTGTCCACCCCTTTAAGTAGCTCTAAGATTTTCTAAGTCGCTCCATCACATAAGGCCTCCGTCACAGTCCCAATAGCGTATGCTGACACCTATGAGTTTCGATGTAAAAAAAAATTTTTATCCCAACCAAACGCAACCCAATCACAATTTTGTTCATTTCCTAACGATTCCTATTCTAACGCCAGGGTCGTGTGATTGCGTGTGGGTTGCGTGTGGGTTGACGTATCGGTTGCGTGGCGTGTCGAAACTGAACTATGATCCCCCCAATACTGCAGATCACCTGCGTACGATTGCGTGCGAGTTGTCGGTGAGTTGCGTTCAAAACTACAAATGCCGTTTGGACCTGCGTGCAGTTGCGTGGACGTTGCGTTCAAAACCTTACAATTGCGTTGGCGCGTGCTAGTTGACGCTGCAAGCGAATACGTTCACGTGTAAAAACCTGTAATAAAAACCGTATAAAAACTATAAAAGTCCTATAAAAACCTATAAAAACAAAAAAACCTAAAAAATTCTAATAAAAGCCTATAAGTCTATAAAATAACTATATAACGGTAAAACGCATTCGGAGTAACTTGTACCTCGCGAGGCCCATTTTTTTATTTGGGGGGGCCGCAAAGCTGACGCATCACTTCAGGCCAGGTCCAGGGCAACCTGTACTTGGTTTGTTCGATTGGTGAAGCGAGACCAACTCTCCGAGCAGCTCATCGTACATCTCGGCATCCTCATACAAGTTCTTGAATGCACCTATGGTCCCCGTTCCGGACATGCTACCGACGAAAGCCTGTCGTAGAGACCAAATCAAGGCGCCTGCTAATCATGGTCTAACCCCCACTGCTATGTGTTGTCCTAAAATTGACCAGAATAAACTGAATCCAATAACAGCAAGAGTAGCCCATGTTTGTCACCTCGGAGTCACCAACAAACGACAACGATCTACGAAAAGGCCAACTATTTTAGACCCATTTCCAAACACCAGTAGACGACAACAACACGGCAACCACACGCGACTAATAAGGTTGGGGATACGCTGGAATACGCACAATAAGGGGGTCTACGCTACACACGACACCATGACGCAATAGCCACGCAACACGCATCGCACAGACGCAACAATACGCAACACATCGCAACATGTACGTCACCAAAACCAGGTCCCAGATACCTCAAGAAATTTTGACCTGCGACCACCGACTTGCGTTCCATAACTAGATTCCGTACCTGTTGCGATCTGTGGCGATCGTCGTGCGATCGTGTGCCTGCACGTACCTGTGCGTCCCACGCCGCTTGCTCGTATCAAATTGATCGGCAGCGCATCGCAGAGAATTATTGAAGAACAGTTTCAAAAATTTCTGAACTTACCTCCGGGTCCTGCAATCACCCTGCGTGCCTTGGTGCGTACTACCTCTCCAACGCAAAAATCCTATAGTTGCGTGTGATTTCGTTCGGAACGTTATGCCCCAACTATTTTTATTCGCAAACATACGCAAACTGGTGACGCTATGGGTGACGGCACCGTTTAGTACAAGAGAAAATAGTAGCTACATTGTTTTACCATTTTTTAATGAGCGCATTTCCGTTATAACATAATCAAAGTTCCACACGGCAAAAATTGGCTTAAGCAAGTGCTCACTAATGCCCACCGCAAAACAGAAAGGCACACGACACGTATCGAAAGATGACCGCCCGACAAAAAGTCCGCCCGCGCAAACCAACCCTCTGATCGCAGGTAATTTTGCACCGCTAACGAAAAAACGTACAACGTTCCGAGACCTCTAATAATACTTGACAAAGCTACTTATTTTTTTAGTTAGGTGTGTGGGTGCTGTGTGTGGATGTGTGTGTGTGTGTTGTGTGGTGTGGTGGCGTGTAGTAGATATGTGTTGTCCTCGTTGCTGTAGGTTATTTTGTGTAATGCGTTGTGTGTTTGTGTGTGGGTGTGTGAGTGTGTGCTGTGTGTGATGTGTTGTGTTTTCGTGTGTCGTGGTGTGTGGTTGTGTCGGTGTTTGTCACATGATCCAAATGTAAAAATGCACCGCCGGCAATAAAATCTAGGTATGGTGAGGGATTAGAGCTTGACAAGAAAACCGCGAAAGAACCCATCGCAGTGCAAGTAATCTTCTACATACCGTGCTGGTCAATGCCTGAGATCATATAAATGGATTTCTGTTAAGGTAGAGAAGGACATATTCAGGCCAACAACCATGACACCCGCCGCATAGTGATTCCTGGCCCGATCAAATACAGCTTTCCTTATAAACAAATGATTGTTCGTTCTGTCGTTTTTAATTAATTTAATTAATAATTAATTAATGTTTTATATTATATAATCAAATGTCAACAGAATAAGCGTGTAATCATTATATAAATACAATCAATTGATATTCAACCGAATAGCACAATTTCATATTTTCGTTAATGGACAGTAAATAACGCTAATCGTCTGTACTTCTTTTATTATTATACAAATATTATTAAATTTATTATTTATTTTTAAAATAATTATACAATTTAGTAACGTGGCATACCTGTACACCTCTACACTATGTGACATACTACCTCCTACACCTTTCGTTCACGATGTCCCGAGGTCGCGAACCCATGACATTTGCATTTTGTATACGGGTATTTCTTCCGGCCCGGTCCCTCATACCTAGTCTAGCTAGTGAGGAAAATGTGACGGAAAGGGACTTCCCCTAGGGGCTGATGGAACGGGAAGGGACTTTCCCCTAGACCTCATTGGACCAACCCCTGTTACAGATAGGGTTGGTGACAGAATGGCTCGGCGAACATGTATATCCCACGCACAACCGCCGGTAACAGGCAGCGCTTATATTACGCTGGTCCAGCATAATGACCATGCATGTGCACAACGAAGTAACCGATTCTATCAACCTGACAGATATAGGGAACGAATTTGTCAGAGGTTGCGATCATAGGCTTTTTATTTTTGGAAAATTTTCGGACTTGGACAAGTCAACAAAATCTTCAATACATTCCACCGCCACACAGACCGAATAGACATCTATTCCTGACATTATGTGTTGCTCATCACATACATTAAGTATGTATATAACAGTTTGTTACATAATGGCACGATAATGCACATATCATTCATGCACGTTTCACCCCCAGCATGCATGTAAAATGTAAGATTTGCAATGCCAGAATGCACGAGAAAGCGTCATTTAAATATTAAGAATTCAAAAATTTTCTATTCTGGAAGGGGGGGACACCCTCCTTCCAGTCCATCCCGCCATCTCGGCGCTCCGCGCCTCGCAGAAGCGCATCTATAACCCATTGCCCCCCCTCCAATGTCAGATACCTTCATACGGAATCTTGATCCGGATCATATGATTCACCCAAACAAACACGGCATCTAGGTCTATCTTCTACTCGGGTAGCCCTATTCTGCTTCCTTCTACTGCCACGCTCGCTTCTCTAACTCCGTCACTTACCACCCGCAAAATCTCTTTTCTTCTTGCACCTGCTTAAATTGACTACGTCACGAATTTTCTATGGTGTATATTTGTAAAAATTGTGTTGCCATTTTTTTACATTAAAAGTAAGTACTAACGGGACTAAATGCATCGTCAAATTCTTACCTGATAAGATTGTTTCTCAACTAGATAAAAATCCAAAAAACATGGACGATTTGATATTATGATCCTGACATTAATTGCTTTCTATGGGCTATGTATGAGTCACGATTGTATGTTTACATCGAACAATATAGTAAAATAGGAAGTATAATGCAGCAATTTAACCATAAAAAGTGAACAGAATTACTTACATTTTGTGAATTCTTTTTTACTTTTTTACTTACTATTTACGGTGACGTAATCACGTTAACTTGCGCAAGAAAGGGTAAGAACATTGCCCCCACGTAGGGCGCGTGCGGGGCTTCCACACATATGTGTGTCGCATGGGTCATGGGGTTTGCCACTTTTTACCCCGTTACCGCCAATCATTGTGGCACTATTATATGTGGCGAGAGGGCTAATACATCCGCGCGTCCTTGCTAATATAATCCACTTCAGCCCTTAATTTACACACACCCACGCCTGCTAAGTAAAACAAAGCTGTAGCAAACACTACATGTCCACACTAGCAAATCTGCACCATCCTCATTGAGATATATGTAATGGTATACGTACACATTGGTTGGGTCAATCTGTCTGTAGGCGAAAGCAGAACATTCCCCGCAGTATTTATACCCAGCATGCCTGCAACAACAACCAATGAGTTTATGTTCAAGTTCAAGTACAATTTTACAAGTAATAAAAATATATTAAGATTAAGATTATATTATGATTAGTCAATTTACTTGTTCTCATGTGGCATTCAAGTAATTTTGGTGTCTTCATAAACAACCTCTGAAACTCAGTGTTGAAATATTTTGACCCTGACAGAAAATTTGTTGTTCAGAGATCTGAGAGACGCAGACTGATTGGCGCAGTCTTGCTTCAACGTGGTGGACCAATTACATATCCGCATCTCGTGCTCTGTCAACTGCAGGGAGAAAATCGGCTTAAATAGATAAACAATCCCTAGCCGTGCTGTATGGTTGAGAGAGATTCGACAAGAAGGGCTAATAATATAATACGAGCAGAAGGGTGAGTACAGAATCAACACAAGACTGCAGAGTTTAGCTGACTGCTGAAATGTCGTTGGATCGAATCCCGTCTGTTTTTTGTTGTTTTCTGTATTTTTCTGTTTATCCATATTACGGTTGGTAGCAAGCAGATGCGTGATATTGTTCGATACAAGCGCACGCACGCACGTGTACGTACGCACGCACGCACGCACGTGTACGCGCACACACACACTCATGCACGCACGCATGCACGCACGTGTACGTGCGCACGCACGCACGCACGCACGCACGCACGCACGCACGCACGCACGCAAGCACGCACGTGTACCTACACACACACGAACGTACGCACGCACACATGCACACACGTGTACCTGCACACGCACGCACGCACGCACGCACGCACACACGTCTACGTGCACATGCATGCACGCACGCACGCACGT